GGTGCATCGGCTGGAGCAAGCGGAAACGCTCAGACCGCCCCCTGTCCTATGCCCAGGCCCTCATCCAGGCAGGCTGCGAGGAAACCATCGAGGCCACCGTGCGCAAACGGAGACTGTGTTTCGCGGGCTTTGCTACGCGCATGGAGGACAACCGCCTCCCCAAGCACATGCTGTTAGGAGGGATGGCGGGGGGCGTGGGATACCGGGGCGGGCAGGAGAGCGACTGGGTGTCTCGTCTAGATCAGGACCTCGTGGCCTTCAACATGGGAGAGGAAAAGGAAGGGGGTAAATGGAAAGAGAGCGCGAAGGACCCGGAGGTGTGGTACAACAAGGTCGAGGACGGGGCGGCATGGTTCATGAGGAAATGGCACAGGCAGGAGGCGGAAGCGTCCGCGAAGCACCAGCGCGCGAGGGAAGCAGAAGCAGAGAGTACGGCCATATCAGGACCGAAGAGAAAGCGAGCCGGGGAAGCGGCAGTGGGGGGGAAGAAACGGCGACCGGGCAATGCTGTAGAAGCGAGTAGGGCGGCCGAGGCAGCACTTGTGGCGAACTATGTACCCGGCTGATGCTGTTGCGCCCTGTTTCCCTCCCTGCTGTATGCTATACTCGTTGATGTATGTACTTTGTATTGCCTTCGGCCTCTGTGCTGTGTTTCTGTGTTTCTTTTTTTCTTGACCTCCCTGCCTACTCTGCTGTGTTGGGTACCTTGATCTCGCTTTGCTGTTGCCTTTGGTTTTGTACGTCTGGCTGTCTGCCCATCTGCCGCCTCTTGGTCCTGTTTGCTCCGATACTCCCATGTCCTGGTGCGTAGTGCCCTGTGCTGGTACGTTACCCTTTGATTTTTTTTTTGGGCGGGTTTGGGAAGCGTCCTCCTTTTTTTTTTTTTTATCGGTCTCCGAGGGCTCTTTTCTCGAACGGTCGGTGCGGTACCTGTTCTTTTCTTTCAATCATTTTGTGTGCTTGTTCCGAGTGGTTTGTACCCTATTTTTGTTTTTTTCCCCGTGGCGTCTTATGTGCCGGGGTTTGAGACCACGGGCTCCCCATGTTTTGTGGACTACAGAGCTAATGTGAGAAACAACAACAACAAACAAACTCTGACACCGATGCTTCTGGAGATTCTCAATCTTCTGCAGCTTCGAGGAAGACCCAAGAGGATGATGGAGGTGTCACACGGAGCTGAAACAGGCCAAGAGGAAGAACTCGTCATCAATCTGGCCAGTCTTCTTCAGGAGGAAATAGCAACGGCGGCGGTGTCGAGGGGGACAACTAGGGCAGCAACTCACAGGGTTGATCGCTCACGATTCAAGGTCACATCAGCGACGACGAGAAGCGCCACCCGCAGAGCACAGCGATTAGTGGGCGATACGTCCCAACAATCGCAGCAAGAGGATGAGTAGACCACAACACCGGTAGCGACTGCAACACAACGGGCGCCCTCGGAGGAAGCCGAAACCCACCGATGGAAACGTCCACACCAGCGACAGAGTCAGACCAAACAGATCGTCGACTATCGATATGCAGAGGCCACTCAGAACAGCTGAAACGAATTGAGGGTAGCTTGAGAGATGGAACACAACTCAAGACAGCCCAACAGGAGGATCTACTGTTGCAACCCATCCGAACCGCGTTGGAGAAAGGTGAAGGAGAGACAGCAGACTATGTCTTGGACGACCAAGGTATTCTTTGGCATGCACCGCGAGGCAAAACACATGTGATCGCCCTGCCTCGAACGCTGGTATCGGGAGTACTTGCTCTAGCTCACGGCACTTTCGGACAGCAGGTGTTGCACGCACCACGATCATCATCGCAGACAAGTACCACTGGCCGACACTCAAGAAGGATGTGAGAGAATACGTGCTGTCCAGCAGATGCCGCATGCCGAAGCGGCCGTGGAGCAAGCGACTACACATGCTGCCCGCACGCTTTCTACGACCGTGGGAAGTTCTGGAGATGGATATCCTCGACATGAAAATGACTTCACGCAAAGGCAACAGGTACTTGCTGGTAATTGCCGATCGAGCTACCAGGTTCCCCTTTGCCTTTCCACTGCCCACGAAGGAGACCTTAGGCGTCAGCAAGAAGCTGCTGGAACTCATACTCACCTTCGACCTTCCCTAGTCTATCCGCTGTGACCCCGGTGAGGAGAACACCTCACCTACCGTGGAACATCTGTGTCGATGGCTGAAAACATCTCTCGACTTTGGACCCACCAACCACCCTAGAGGGCAACGTACAGTCGAGAGGATGGGAGCTGTTCTTCAGGAGATGCTGTCAGAACTCTTCAAGGCTTGGACGGACCGCTGGGATGAGTACGTAGCAGTGGCCACGTGGGTTCACCGTACACTAACAGACGAAAGCCTCCCAAACAATGCGTCGTCGTACCAACTGCTCTTTGGAAGGGCACCGCGCACTCCAATCGACCAATTGTCACCGTCACTAGATGACTCCGGGCCGACACTGCCCTTTGAGCGGACTGTGGAGGAGACACGACGGAAAACGACCGAAGTGCTGGAAGCGTTGCGAAAACGACAAGCCAACAGAAATCGAGATCGAGAGATCCAGAATGCGCGAACAACACGGACTCCACCCGGAGCAAAAGCGAAGGTGGGCGACAAAGTACTTGTCAAGGAGAGTGCCCGTACCCTCTACAGGGATGAAGTCCACCCCAAACTGGCTCATGATCACTGCACAGGGCCGTGGAAAGTGGTGGCCGTGGTCCACGCCGGATTCAGCTTCAAGGTCAAACTCAACCGTCGCCAATTTCGTCAAAGAACGGTCGCAGCCACAGACTTCAAACCTTTCTACTCGAGATCACCTGAAATTCGACACCCTTTTGAGGACGAGTTTGACCATTTTGTGTGGTCAAAAGACCTTGGACTGGCCACGGACTCAGTGGTGGCCGCACCCCGTTTCACGCTGGTGAGTCGCCGAGTGGCACAAGGTGCAGGAGGACACGCTTCAGCGTGGGCGTGGGAAAATAAAGGCAAGTACCAGGATGGCACCATCTCTTCCTGGCTCACCGAAGACACCGTGACAGCTTTTCATCCTTGCAACTCGACGTTTTTCACGCCACGTGGGAAGACTACCACGGCCCCATAACCGCACCGAGGCCAGCAGGACCGCCATCTCGAGGGGAAAGGGAGGTAGCTGCCAGGACGGAAGCTCTGGAAGAGTTTCCCTGTGGAACCGACGTAGCCAGAGAACTCACAGATCAAGAAGGCAACATCGTCCTCAGTCGGGGTAAAGTATGTGACTTCTACGACCCGTATTGGCGAGAGAAATTCAGTGAAAACGACTGGGAAGTTCTCACTTGACGGGAGTGTCGCCGAGGCATCGATCTCTCGACAAGACTCCCGCCGTCAACGGCTCAAGAATCCTGTAAACAATACACTGCCGACAGGTCCCCGCTGTGCATGCGAGAAGCTGGGGGGGGGGATTAGCAGCAATGTGACGCACAGGATTGTCAGGATCGTCGCCGTGAATTCAAGATCTGCTTTGTCATTGAAGACCGTCCTCGTCAGGGGAAGGTCGTCTTCGCCAGTAGAAGAACATCTTCGACATAGCCATCGGCAGAGGAACCTCGTCGGCAGTTGAAGATCATCTTCGTCAGGAGAAGAACGTCTTCGACAAGTTGAAGACCTCTTGTCAGCCGAAGATCATCTTCGACAGTTGAAGATCGTCTCCATCATCGATCGTCTTCAACGGTTCAAGATCGTCTTCGTCAGGGAGTCCGGTTCGCGGCGGTCAACGCACAAACGGCCGTCGTCCGAGGCTGAGGATCTCTGAGATGTAACGTCGACGTCGACCTCGAAACCGGCATCCGTCCCTCACTAGGTTCAAATCCCTCGCGGTTTGTAACCTAGGAGGGGCGGCACCCTCCCTCTACCTGGTCTATTTTCCCGGCGTGGTATGACCTGGTGAGGGAGAAGCGAGCACTCTGCGCCTCCTTAGCATTTTTGTGTTTTTCAACACATATATGCTGGGGGGGTGTCACGGCAGCAGAGTGCCTGCTTAAATACGTTGATCCAGTCTGCTGCGAAACGGGCTAGGGAGGGCTAGGGTATGTCTCAAAGATACCCGAATCAGTTGCGGACCCCCCTCTTGGGTCCGCTACCCCCAAGTGACTTTTTGTCGCTGCCCTAATCAAGGAAAAAACTGACCCTCAAGTGCTAAGAGAGCAAGCTATCTGAGAGCCAGTACGACCTGTGGGTCAGTACACCTAGCTAGGATAAGCTTGTTGTACCGTTATCTAGCTAGACGTACGATGGCTAGCTAGGATAAGCTAGAGTTGCGTACCGCTACTTTACTATATAAGATATTAGATTCACCCCCTATGAGCTAACCCCATAATAATCGATGAACCCCAGCATGCGGCTGCTACGCTAAGCATGAGAAAACCAACAAACTCGATAGCGTTATAACCGCTGTGACATAATTGACTTGTCCGATCCGTAGGATATAGCAGGGTGACATGCACAGTAATAAAATGCTGTCCTTAGACCGATCTTTTTTCTCATCAAGTCGATTATGTGCTCAACACGAAACGAAAGTAATCAAGCAGTCCGGGATGCCTAAGGACGCCTGACACCATGTCGCAATGGCCGCCTGAACATTTGTGGGGAATGAGGGTGTCTATCCCGCCGAGAGATAACGGTGTTAGTCGAGGCGAGTTGTGTGTTGCTTTCGATGTCTTGAATATATTCAACCCCCATTCTTCCAAATGAAAACAGCGAATTCCGCGATGATTTCCACGGTGTTCAGCGACCCAATATGTGGCACGAATTTATCAATATTTGTTGTTGCGAACATACCCAGATTTGGTGTGTAGCACACGACACGCAACCCGTGTATGTTATCGACACTGGCAGGGGGCAAGCACGCAAAGAAGGGTCCCAAGAACAACAATAAAACAGTAGGCTCCTGTGTTCCACTCGCTCGGCAGCTGAGTCGCAGAAAATGTACAATCAACTGGATTCGGACACAAATAACCGAATACGCTGCTACTCTTGTGCCCCCATCTTTCGTCTCGCCTGATAGAACGTTGTGAGCACCCCCGTGGCGACGATGGACCAGAAGCCGACCTCAGAAAACAGCGCGAACGGCGTCAGCAGCAAGAACACGTCCACCAGAAGCTGCACGGCGTGCGCGTAGGCGAGCTGCACGGAAACGAAATTTCCGTCGAGTGAGTGAGCGCGCGCACAACGACAGCCAGCAGTCCAAAATGACTACTGTCCCCAAAAGATTGGTGTGGAGGTAGAGAAGGAGAGAGGAGAGAAGGAGAGAGGAGAGAGAGAGAGAGAGAGAGAGATAGAGAGGGGGGGGGGGGGGGGGGGGGGGGGGGGGGGGGGGGGG